TATATATATATATATAGCGCCATCATTACTATTTTGTCATTATGTACAAGCCCAATTTATAATCTCCGACATCCAAGTTTATTTTTGTTGTCATTGTTGTTGCCGCACTAGTACTACTACTATATTATTACTATTATATATTTTTATATTACATTATATTCAGGTAGAAAAGCTCGAATTTTATGCTCGAATATATCTAATCAACCGTAAAAGGATACAACCACCGGTAGCGAAGGTATACCCAGCCAAACCCCGAGTGGTAACGTAATGCTATCCGCGATCTTCGATGGCTACAACAAATTTGTTTAAATTTTCAATGATGTTTGACGACAGAAAGAAACCTAAAATTTTTTTAACAAAATATGGAGACAATTACCAGATCTTTCGCCGAGTTGTTCAATACCAGCGCAGCTAACGAGTGCCCTCTGAGATGCAACCAGACGTTATACTTGTCGCATATCGCTCGTAATCGCGTAATGTTATCACAATGGCCTGTTAATACCGAGCCAGCCTCGGCCAGGACCAATAACGGTGTTACATTGTTCGACTGTGTGTCCTCCGCTAAACGTCGCTCCAACGCCGAGATGTCCATAGTATGTCTCGAACCAAACATAGTATTATGTGGGATCGGCCGTATGCAGTGAAGCGGTAAAGAGAGCTGCGGAAACCACGAATTTTTAACGTGTCAGAACTTCAACCGGTAATTTTCGAACCTTGCTTTTATAATGCAACATTCTTCATGTAACATATGATGTAAAAGTAGAAAAAATTAAAATTAATACTTATATACAAATTTAGTAACGAGCTCGTTTGACCAACAGGATGTTATTTTTTATCAAAAATTAAACTAATCAGCCCAATCAGTTGGGATTTAATTAAATTGACATTTAATTTAATATTGTACGTTTTACGTGCTATATTTTCTGGCCGTAACTCAGGACTTACGTTGAAGAAAGACATTGACTATACGTTCAGCAGAGAAAGGTGTTTTGCAACTGTTGTAAAATTCGTGAGTCTGATTGGTATATGCTTTTTTAAATTCAGTCACAATTAAGAGCGTACACCGATCAGATTCACGAACTTTACAGCTCTGTTGCAAAGCAGCTTTCTCTGCTGAACGTAACTATTATAGTTTCAACGTTCGAAAAGAAAAAAGAATAACAACATTACCTGTCTGCACAAGTGTTGGACGACACCCAAGGGTGCAGCAACGGAGCTGTAAATCAAGGGTGGCATAGACGCGAGTGCGGTAAAGCCCTCCTCCATATACCTCGGGTACTTTCGGTGCAAAGCCAATCGCGTTACTCTGATCAGTCCCTCCAAGTGATCCTCGTGGAAGGACGACGCGCAGTCGACAAAGCGAAAGATATGGCTGAGCCATCTTGTCGTGTCAGCTGCTAGGCGACCGGCAAGTTTCTGCGCGTGTGGCTTTGGTAGCGCTGCAGCGTAAGCTGAAACGGTGTGTGTGACTAAAGCCAATTTTGCCGCCTCATTCAAAATTGGCAGCGCAGTAATCTGGCTGGCTGGTGTGTCCGTAGAACCAACTTCCACTGGTTGTGGTGCATCCTCATGAAGTACTAAATCCTGTGCAACAAAAAAATTATCATTTAATCTAATTAATTTGTTAAATATTTTTATCTTATGACTTTCAGGCAAGATTACGATTAACTTTTATGAATATATATTTCTTTCAGAATATAGTATTCTGTACTATGACACCTGTGTTGTGTTGTGTGTGTGTGTGAGAGAGAGAGAGAAAGAGAGAGAGAAGATAGAAGAAATAGTTACTGCAGTACTTATTAATATGTGTGTATATATATGTAAGAAAAAATTGTTACTATAGTATTCTATATTATAGCAAATTTCTTGTTTCTGTCCTTCTCTCATTATATATTTTAATTGAAAAAAAGAATAGTCCTTGAATATTCAATGTTACCCATATGCAAGTGAGAAGAATCACTCAAGTTGACATTCATAATATGCAAATGTTTCACTCAACTCCGCAGCTGTGTCAACTGTGTTGGTTGCTAGGAAGCTTCCATAATCACTGTGCAAATTTACATTTTCCATTATAACCCGATTATTATCGAGAATATAAATTACACAAAAAATTAAATTGTTTAATCTTTAAATATTATAAAATAAAAAAAAAATATATATATATATATATCTCTTTAAATATTATAATTGCATATTTTCATACACGCGTGTAATACCTTTAATTGTGTAATAACAAAAAAGTGTCTATCGCGAATTGATAGAAACGAGGATCAAGCATGTGACAAGAGACTGAAATTAATCTTCTTTTTGTGGTTGTCTAATTGGTCACAGTCTATTTTGCCATTTTTTTAACATGCTTTTGCTTATATTCATATTCATGCCGTCATCAGCTGCATCGTCCTGCGGCGTGTGCGATACAGCGCTACACAAACTCAGGTGCGGCCACGTGACTAATAATTATCGGGCGCTACCGCCGCGATCAACGGGTGACGCGTGTCAACAGGACTGCGGCCAATCACGCGTGCCCAATGGCCTCTGTTTGGCGCAGCACCGCTCACCTGTATCAACGCTAATATCTCATCCGGTTTTTTCGGCTGCGACAGGAATCCTGAGGGGTTGTTCCACGTGCTACCGTCGCCGTCACCGCCGTCACCGCCGCCACCACTACCACCACCGCCGTCGGCAGCTCGCTCCACTGCCTGTTCCAACCGCGAGATCACTTGCGACGCTTGAAACTGCAGCGCGCCCACTTCGCTCAGCGTGGACGAGTCACCCTCTCCGGCACTGACCTGTCAAAATCGTCAAAAAATTCTCACCGGTTTAACCACAATGTCGACGGCGCGCGACCGCCCACTCGCGTCGTCGATTATCGCGCGGGCGACGCGTGACCGCGCCGCCAATTAATCGTACGCCGACACACACCTCCAGCAGGTTTTGCGCTAGACTTTCCATCGCCGCGTTATCGTTTGTGTCAACCTCCTCGGCCATCGTGGCAGTAGTCGTCGTGGCCGGCAGTAACGTAGAGTCAAGCGTCATACGCGCTCATTCGTCTCCGGCCAAGATCGATCGATCTCCGGCGGGGTACTTTCTTCGAATATTTTTGCGAGGACGAGATCTGTCTGCAGCAAAACGTGAGCGGCTTTACTGAACTTTTGTAAGCTTCTTTTTGCAAAGAATTGTGGATACACTAAGTGACAGGGGGCCCCACGAGCACGCGACACAGCACTTCATCGGTATAGTCACCGTAGCGCTGTTTGGTCAATTTATATCGGGAGAATCTTGAGAGCGACTGTGCTAGACTGTGCTATGAGAGTTTCTCGAGACGCTTTTATTAACGCGCCCTCTGAAGTAATGGCTGCAAAACATATCGGTTACATATCCGCACTGCGGATATATTATTGGTTCAGGGCCTGCACAATGGAAACTGTGGAGACCTTTCACTATATAAGTATGGGGTGCTTACGAAACGCTGCGCAGCATTTGTAGCGGTTGTTGGACCGCACCCTATATCTGGCTACTTGACGTTTGTATGACTTGCTCCATACGCCACTCCTTAGGTTTGTTCGCGTCGCATGCCCCAACGTGCTCCTACTCGCTCCAACGCACTCTGATTGGTCCGCGTGGTGACGTAAACTAATCAGAGTGCGTTGGAGCGAGTAGGAGCACATTGATGTATGCGACGCGAACAAACCTCTCGTTCCGAGTTGCGGTATGATACGGACGGGAGTAGAGCAGGAGCAGCCATTGAATATATTAGTTGTAGATGGGAGCATATATTACTCTGTCCGGATCCAGATCTCACTCGCTCCGAACTCACTATCGTAAACATCCGTGGGCTGCATTCCAAAACTCTACTTGGTCAACTCTATGGAACCCTTATGGCTCCTGCACACAGGACGCGGTAATGCTTGCCGCGTGGCGGAAGTCTGCGCGACAGCCAGTCAATATGTTGTTTTCCGTAAGAGCTAGAAGGTTATTACGGAAAGCAGCATATTGATTGGCTGTCGCGCGAACTTCCGCCGCGCGGCAAGCATTACCGCGTCCTGTGTGTAGGAGTCATAAGGGTGCTATTTCACGTGTCGTATGACAAGCTTTTCGGATACGTTTATTGGTTGGCGAATAAAGTATTTCTAGGTTCTCTGTTCGTCAACCAATGAACGTATCCAAAAAGCTTGTCGTACGACACGTGAAATATCAGTCTAATGCAGGATTCACACTACGTCGATGTCCGACGTACGACGTCCGGTATCTAATAAGAGAACAGCTTTCTAATAGAGAATTCAATTCTCTATTGGAAAGCTGTTCTCTTATTGGATATCGGACGTCATACGTCGGATATCGGACGCGATGTAAATCCATTATAACCCTTTTCAGCTGCACTGCTGAAAAGAACAGACCACTATATGTTGATGGTGCGGAGCGAAGGTGTGTTCGATTCTACCGGTCCTAAGTAATCCTACTTTGTACTATCATAAGGACATTTGCAGCTAATTCAAAATGATTAACACGTTCCGCTTGGTATTTCGGCAGAGATTTCCTCATCTTCGTCAGTTTCACAAATGGTAAGACTGAAAAATTATGAATTGGCCGGTATACGTTTATAAATAATTAGATTACATAACCTCACTTTTTTTCTAATTATTTTAAACAATTATGTATTAATCGTGTTTAGTGTACTTCAGCAAACAGAAGCAAGCGCAGTGGCAACGAGTTCAGTGCAAACAGCACCACTGTCAAATGTCGACAACTTGGTTAATCCGAAAATTGATAAAATAGCTAATGACATCACTGCTCTCAATTTAATAGAAGTAGCAGAACTCAGTGATCTGTTAAAGAAGCGATTAAATCTTCCAGATGCACCTGTTATGCCCATGGGAGGATTTGCAGCTATGCCAGTAGTTGAGGTAACTGTTGTTAAGAAAGATGTATATGCAGTATTTTTGTTTTTAATTGATAATATCTACTTTAGAAATAAGTTAATATAGCAGAATTATATTAAAAACAGTTTCTATAAGCATTGATCTATTGATTATACATACATGCATCTATATGCTTAAATAATTTGGAAAATCAATAATATATAAAGTAAAAATATAAAGTAAAATAAGTAAATAAACAACAGATGCGCTAAATAAATGTAATTAGCTTAGAATAATAGAGAATGTAATTAAACTTTTTATCATGTTATGTGTCTGGTTTACTAATCCAGAATTTAGATAATCAAGTATTGATTGGTTTAGGAATCGGAAGAAGAAATGCCAAAAAAGGTACAAACTTCGTTTACTGTCAAATTACTAGCGTTTGATGATAAACAGAAGATAGCCTTGATCAAAGAAGTGAAGAATCTGTTGCCAGATACAAATCTTGTCCAGGTATTAAATTATCAATACATTTAATTGTAAATAATGTAATTTATGGTGAGAACCTTTATCTTATGTTTTATAAAAATAGGCTAAAAAGTTTGTTGAAAGTGCTCCTACAATAGTGCAAGCTGATCTGGCAAAAGAAGAAGCAGAGAAATTAAGAGATGCTCTTGTAAAGGTTGGTGCCACAATTGAAATTGTATAATTTGTACTTGCAAATATATATATATATATATATATATTGTTGAATTATGTCTTTTCATGTTCGTATATAATTGGAATTATATAAGCTCACAGCACCTTCCTGATATAATCCTGTACTACAATGTATAACTACATTTTATATGTTTACCATGATACACTTTATCATTATAATTACAAATCTTAACAATTGATACGATAAATCAGTGTAATCTTGCGTTTTTCAACAAGTTTTTTAGTTTGTCTATAAAAATAAAAAAAGTTAAATTATAAATGCATAGGGATCTCAGTTGTAGTCAATATATAATTATATAATATACTTTTCAATATATATTCTATTATCTGTAGTCTTCTTTTTGTATGATGTAAATTAATAAATGTTTTCTACTTTTATTACTTAATCTCTGAAAAATTATATAGAAAGTAAGACATGAAATTATTACCTTGATTTACATATCAATGTAAGAGATTTAAAGGTGACCTTATTTTTTAAATAAAAACCTGGTTTTCTTTATGTAAATCTAAAATTTTTATAAGCATTTTTTTGTTTTCATCAATTATATCACATGGGCGAAGAGATTGAATAGTCTAAAAAACATTTCATATGTATGAACTTGGTCACTTATTTTCGTTTTCTTGCGAGTAAGATCAAGACTACGTTCCGAAATTCACTGCCAGTGCTGAAATTTTATAGTATACGTGACATGAACTGTAGATTTTCAGTACTGGCAGTGAATTTCAGAACGCAGCCCAAATTATAACGAAGGGGAGAGAGGGTGCGTTTAACGTTATAACGATACATATTCTGTGTCGTATCTTAAATCATTTGATCTACACACAAATCTGAAAACGCTCATGATAACAAATTGTGAGTATCGATTTTATCTTGCTTTGTGCTGTCATTGACGAGTTGTGTTATGCTGAAATTATTAATCAATTTGGCTATTTGGATGTTTCTTCCCTTGGATGCCGTGACAGAAAATAAGAACCATTCGAGTATCTATTATCATTGTATCGCAAAATTTTTTCATTTTCTTTTTAATGTATTCAAGAAGATTTATAACAATATTCGTAACGGTCTTAATTTGACAAATACAAAACTTAGATCTTCAAGAAGAGAAAATATTGGCGCTCCAAAATTTTTGGGAAAAAGGACTGCTCCGTAAAAACGATTCACACAGATTAACATCTTCGACTGAAATTTCTCAGCTCAAAGACGATTGGATAGAATATAAGCGTGCAATGAAAAGCGAAAAGGAGAAAACTTTGTTGGATTATATTGGTCCAGCGATAACGGAAGATTCTGATATCAGGAACGATCAAGTTCTCGTGAACCATGTTCGCGTCAAGAGAAGTGACTCGATGAATGATTCTCTCCTGCATTTCCGGCTCAAGAACAATACGATCTATGCGTTCGACAAATTGCTGTCTATGTTCAAAGGACCCTATGCTGATTCAAATCACAAACTTAAATCTGATGTAGTCAATACAACTACCCATTTACGGTACAAAAGAAAAATTCTGTCCAAAAACGAACAACATAGAAAATGCGTGAAAGGAAATACTAGACATTCGAAATATCACATCAAAACCCAAGTTAGAGATAAAAAACATGGTGTCCTGAAATCTTCCCGTAAGTTTTTTACGAAGAAAAGTAGCTCAGGTGTGTATTGTATTTTTTATCATAAATATTTAATATATAAATATGTTTTATATATATATATAAATATGTTTTATATATATATATATATATATATATATATATATATATATATATATATATATTTTTTTCTAATTGTTCGTTTTTAAATTTATTATATTCGAATCAGTTTCTCTGTTTTTGCTGTTACTATTATTATTATTTGCAGGACAAAGAAGTAAGAACACAACAATTAATGTGCATACCAGAAAGATTGACGAATCGCATACAGAGTCTAAAATGAAAAAAAGGGAAACTGAAAATAGCGGTTTGAACATTGCCGGAGCTGGTTCTACCGACTATGAGGGAATGCGAGCTGATAAATCGGAGACACTGATAAAGCAAAGTGATTCAGTATTGTTGACTAACGATAGTAGGTCGAAAAAACAGCGAGAAGAGAACAGCGTCGTATTACCTTTCGTGCACACTGGAAAGGCGGAATTGCGATTTCGTATCGAGAAAATCCCCGCGAATGAATCTTCGTTTATTAATACGGACAGTTGGGTAGATCATTCTACCACAATTGGTCTTTCTTCAACTATGTCAATTCAATCGAAATATGGCACAATTGACGACATTACCGATGTTACAAATTCTAAACTCGCTCCAAATTTTGATTACATCGAAAGAAAGGGGAAGGAAATGGATAACATAATCAAATTTACTTCGTCGGGAATCGAAGCTGACCAAAACTCGGAAGATGAGAAATATGAGAAAGGCATAGAGAAAAAAGTTGCGAAATTTGCAGACGAAGATATCAAGTATCGTGCAAAGAGAAATCAGCAAATTATGTCAAAACGATACCTACAAAGCTGTATGAACGCGAGAAGATTAAAGCGCTTTAAAAATACAGGACAAAATATCGGAGATATTAAACACGAAGGAACAATGTACAAAAGGGCTTGTGGTAATCGTGCTGTGAGATCAATCGAGGAGATTAAGGACCTTGTTGAAAAATTAGTCGTTAAGGTAACTTATAGTAACATTTTTGTACAATATAATTTTCTCGACGATTTTTCAGTTAATAAAATACATAATACTGTAGAAAAGTCAATTAATCTTTTAAATTTCATCAATTCAGGGAAATTTAATTTCGGTTTAATTTCTCTAAAATAATATTTAATATTATATGTATATTTTATTTTATATTAATATTTATTTTATCTGAAAAAAATATATATATTCGCATTTTATACATCTCTGTATAATTTATTCTAAGGTAAATGAATTACAAATGTACGTGAGCAACTATAGTGAAACTCCATACACGATGACGGATTCTTGTCGTGTCGATAGAAAGGCAGATCGTATATCGAAATCCTCAGGAAAATCCAATTACAAATCTGAATTTGTAAGAGATACCGATAATCACAAGCGTTTAACGAACGACCGACAGGCAATCTCAGTAGAGGCAAAAGTTTTTCAAGTGCCTTCCAGTGTCTCAAGAGTTACACGAGCAAATTCCCGCAGCAAGAGAAAGTGGAATAGGTGGACAGATTGGAGCAGTTGTAGCGTTACTTGCGGCAAAGGCCGACAGATTAGATGGAGACATTGTTTGCGCGATTGCGACGATGCGGAAATTGAGATGGAAGAGAAAGCTTGTCAACTGCCCGCTTGTCCGCCAGGAAAATTTCTCGGAATATTTTGAAAATCTTGCTTTTTTTCCACTATATAAACAAGTAGTGATAGGTACAAGTATCTCTCGTGTGGTTATCCATCGTCATCTATAATATATGGAATGTCGTGTGAAATAACAACTGCAATGAGTTCATACTATATAATGTTATATATCTCTTGATTTATTTGAAACTAAAGCCTAATCTACAATATGCTCTTTGCTTCTTTCTCTTTATCTCTTTCTGACTCAAACCTTAAGCTTTAAGACAGAAAAAGATAGAAGACAAGAAACAGAACGCAAAGAGCATATTGTAGATCAGGCTTTAGACTCATATTGTCACTGTGATTATTGTAAGGAATGTTTTTTGAATGCTCGTGCACGTATTTGAAATAGCAACAGATATTATTGATAATAAGATTCGGTATGGAGCTTGTGTGTGTATGAAGAGAGTAAAATTTATTTATAGGCATATTATCATGAATTTAATGCGAATGGTAAATTTAATGAAAAATCTGGATGAATAAGCGTAAGAAAGGCCTTTAAACTGAGTCCAAATTCAGTTTTATGTAACGTAAAATATCACACGCGAAATTTGATAAATATCGAATTTGTTTTATTCTACACTTCATAAATACACATGCCTGAAGAAAAGTTTAGCTTTGTATAAAAACAATTATTTATAGGTAACAAATGTACAAACAATTCTGTAAATTCGAATCACGGTTTTATTACCACTGCATCGATAATAGTTTATCCAGGAAAATAATATGAGCGATGACATTCTTACGTTTGCAATATAACGTAAACGCGTTATCGTCATACAAAATTCCCTTATTACATAACATGTGAGTGAGGTTTTTACAGGATCGAGAATCTGCCTTACTTTCTCATCAGCGCACAATTAAACGCGAGTGCCACGTAATTGTATAACAAATCGCTTGCTGTATATTCTTTATAGTCTCATTATCAAATACATAATATATTATACAGGATATTTCAATTAACATCTCCTTTGCATCAGTATATTCACAAATGACGAGAGCATTCGTTGCTTAAAGAAAAAATCTTTCGCAGCTCGATCGTCGTATTCATAGACGTTCACATGCAACGGGATAGTTCAGTTTTTTCCACTAATATTACAAAATATTAACGAATATTATATAATAGCATAAATTTCTACGCAATTCGCGATGATCCGTGCAGGTGCACATCAATATTCCAATTTGTGCCTATATGATCATTTCTCCCATTTTCTCTCAATTATTTTGCGCGTAATTTCGCTTTCTTAGCGATCCGCGCACACCGCGCGCGTATTATAAAATTTAATATATCCTACATATTTATAAAGTACTCCGCTCTAGATCTTTCTTTTCTACATTCGTTTATAAAAAAAATTCTGTAGTAAAATTCAGTTGATCGTTTAATATTTATTTTTATCTATTAATAAATTTTAGGCATTTTATTAATAAATTAACGCAAGAATCTGGATATATCGCGATAACGTATTTTTAACCTGCGTTTTATTAAGCCAGACGACATAACGGTGTTTTCTGTAGGCAGCACGATTGTTTATCAAATATTTGACAAATGCAAATACGTCACGTCCGTGTAGCACATTTGGCTAAAGTGCGGTCACGTGCATTGCAATGTCCTTAATCAGCAAACAGGATTAAGAATATATCGCACTCTCAATGCAACACTGCATTTTTCTTTCCGAATATATGTAATCTAATAAACGCGCAGCAGCTATCAAGACCGCTTTTATAAATGCAAGATAACACACGCTGATCTTGAATCGTGATTACGACTCCATCGTGTGAGGAGCGTCGATGTCGCGCGGACATAACTAACATTTACTATCTCTTTTTCTTTCTTGCTTCAGCAAGTGCTTAATCTATGACGCGCTTAGTATTCATCAACGGTGTATAAAATGTTCTTAATGCATGGCACATTCCCTGGATTCTGGTTTAATTTAGACAAAATGCGCCCCCCCTCTTAAGGATACGTTTTGATGCAGTCGGATACGGTGTATGTCTCTCGACTAAGTATACAATAAAAATGCTACAAAATAATATATGATATAGCGCCTAAAAGTCGTATTATGTTGAACGTCCGTAAAAATGAAGCGAATGAGAAAAACCGCGTCGATGTAGCGCCTTCGATCATTTAACATTCGGCTCACACCGTAGACCGGTTACAATATATATGAATTGATCACAATGGTGAAACGCACACACTCCTCGCGCGCACGTACTTACTGTCACAATATACATAAATGCTTCCACATTTACACGCTATTTATGTAATTGCACGACGTGTGCGACTACCAGTATTCACAGTCTCTCTCCCTAGATTAAAGGACGCAAAATACACATATCAGTACTTAATTGTGATAGATAGTGTAAACTATATCTCGTACCTATTACTCTTGATTACTTAAATCATGAACGATATACTTAACACTTGAGCTTTGTTTTACGTTACCGGCCCACTTGCGATCGGGACTATTCGGTTGATTTGGTACGTATACATTGATTCGCGGCTGAAGCTTGATGTTCGTAACTAGTTAGATATACTTTTGGCTTATTATTTGCTACAACTAGTCACTCGTATGGAAGAACGGAGGCGCATCTTGTGACACAAAAAGTTCGTTTTCTGCCATTCGTTTCATCGCTCGTGAGCAGTAAATGACTTCGGCATTATGCAATAGTATTCCTTGGTTCCTTGGTTCCTCTTCCATCTCATCTTGTGACACTACGACACAGTCTTGCGATACTGTATTCACTAATAATTCCTCGCCTCCAGCCAACATTCGCACATCCCGATCGGCATCAAGGCGCATTTTTTTTAGTATTCTATCCACTTGTTCCATTCGTTCCACACCTAGACCAGCTACTGAAATTATAGGGATACAGAATAATCGCACGTTGTGTATTATTGTATATTATCGAGATGATATTGATTTCGAAGTCGCATGATACTTACAACCCATCGTGCTCACGTTATTCGCTAAGGTTCTCGCTACGGCTAATCTTACATTTGGTACCCTGTCGAATGACAAACCTATCAAATTTGGTAACATCTCTTTAATAAACATACATCCCGCGATGGCACCGTTGCGGAGTAGGTGCGCGCACAAGATCGCATATGTTTGCCGGCGTATCCACTTTTTGCTATTTGGAACTAAGGTGTCACGAAGCTCGTGGATAAGTGACGTTACCAGAGCGTCGTCGATGGACAAGTGAGATACAATTCGAGTGACCTAAAAGAACGAAATTTCGTAACGGAAAAATTCTGAAGCATATATAGTATATCAAGTTATTAAAAGTAGGGATTTACAAAGAAAAAAAAGAAAAGCAACATTAAAAATAAACTAATAGAATAGAAGAAGATAGAATCCGCACTCCGGATCCTAAAACAATTCTGCATATTATAGGCAGTGATTAAGATACACTAATAAAAAAAATATAAAAGACGAGTAATGTTAATAGCCGTATCACGCTAGCGACTCGCGACTGCGGCTGCGATTATGTCTCTTGACCAGTCAGAAAGAAGCTGCTAGCTACTATCGCTTTTCTCATTGGTCAAGAGACATAATCGCAGCCGCAGTCGTTAATGTGATATGGCTATAACGTGTCAGCTATATATTGGAAACAGTCGTGAATAAATAAATTATGTGCTGACGCGTGGAAATGAAGGGAGGAACGGTGAGAGAGAGAGGGGGGGGG